ACGTTTTATATTACATGAAATCAAATAATGATCAATTACCGTATGAAAATTAATTTTTGATTTACTGGATCGTATGACTAAGTACCCTTGAGTGGCAGTGTATATACTTTGAATCGAATATATAGACAAATTCAGATAAATTACGTAAAATGGCTCACGGTCGTGTCTCTCGTGGAGAGTTCGCGAATATACAGAGTGATTCTAGAAACTGGAACAAGCTGCAACTCTTCTCTAGACGACGATACCAGCGATCGATACAGGAAAAATTTCAATCCCAAAACGGGGACTGTATCGTGACAATAGAAATGTTTATTCGATACAATCTGCTGCACAGATACGAAAAGAGACAGTAGAATATTTTAGCGTTCTCGAGTTTTCGTTTGGTAATGAACTACGGTTCGTTCGTGTTTTGAAAATCACCCTGTATGCGCTCACGACCGAGAAGGCTCCGTGCAGAAGATCAAAGATCGAGAACCGTGGCGGCACGTAGAACCTCTATTCGCGCAAAGACATCGAGAACAGAGTCCTCAAGTGGTGCTCTCGAACACGTGACACGACGTGACGTTGTACAGAGTCCCGATTTCTTCTGCTGGTTCACAAAGTGACGTTTTTCGCACTTTCGTATAAACCGCTGGCCACTTATCGACTCGATGCGCTCCGACCGTCAGGGGAATCTCGAGATCTTTGTAAACCGATCAACCGATCCATTCGAACGTTTCAACGGAGTTTATAGCACCGAGCAATCTACGACGGAATCTAGACGGACAGAAACATATTTTTTCGATGCAAGTGAAAATGACACGAAAATAAATAAATCTGTTTGTTCGTCGGACAGTGATTGAGCGAGAAAAATACTTCTCGGGAGATTGAGTAAGAAATCGCGTGAACGCATTGTCACAAAAAATAACAGAGTTTCTTACAAATAATAAAACCCGGTCAACATTTTGGGGGAAAATATTTCATTTTATCGATATCGGCCTTAAACGTTTACTTCCGTTTATCCAGCACTTTCCACCCATCAATCATACATTTATGCGCGCGATAATGAATCGATGGATAGACCCGCGAACGCGACACAGTGGCTAATTGCGAATAAAATGGAAATTCCAACTTGACCAGCGAGATCGCCCAATGTTGAGCCAATTAAAATCTCGCGCGGGCAATTTGTGTGTCACGTTTATAATGATCGTCGATAATTTGACACTGTCGAGCTATTGAAAGCCGCGATCCGCGCGTCTTCCAATCAGCGTAACAGCGGAACTAAAAGTCCATTAAATATCAAATAATGTTTGCAATATTATAAACGTTTTCTCAACCGGTATGTTTTCCTCGTTACGAAATTAAGCTGCTTAAATTTTGCGCTGATACGTTTGTTCCAGACGAACTGTTTATCGAGATAAATGCCTAGGCATTTCGTACAGTTTGATCGTGTAATCTCGTCGCCGTATAATTTAAGCGAATGGTGTAGTTCAAAGGTTAAAAATTAGCAACGCGGAACAATATCCCTCTCAACTGTCTGATACGTTTCACGAACCAAACGGTTAAATCGGTGTTCCTCTTGGCGGTGGTACGTTCGCCGCCGATAACTGGCCGTGTATCCGGGACGTATGCATATAACCGCATAAAGTATGAAAAAAAGCCCTATGTTCTGGAGTAGATAACGCTTTATGCGAAACAAACGGTCCGACGAGGTTCATCTCGGACACGAGTGCACACATTTGCATGCATACAGCTGGTTGCACGCAGTTCCGCCTGGACACAGGGAGGATCGGCTAGCGGAATTCGATTGTTCTCGACAACCTTCACAGGCATTTCGCGAAACGTAATCCCGATGCCAGTGCACGTGCAAAATTCTCAACTGGACGACAAGATTCGAATAACAATTAAAAGACGAGCAACTTGCGATTGACCGAGAAAAAGAAAACAATGAAAACGTTCGCGTAAAAATATTGGTCTGTTTCGTTTTACGATAAATCGCAGAGAAAATAAAAAATACGCGAACAACTGCGTAGTAAAAATAATCGTTTATTCGGCCAAACGGCACGAAAGTCGTGTAAAAAATGACAAAGTTGAAGTTAAATTTATTTCGACGATACATCGTATCACGGTAGTTGTAATTGATGGGACAAGCGTCGATATAGTTGATAAAACGTCAATATTTGAAGAAGTAAATCGAAATTATACATCGAATGTTTGCCATATGACGCATTGTTTTCGAGAGAATTGATTTTAAAAATTTGTCGACCGTCCTTGCGATCGAGTACGCCTTGTCCGACCAATACATACTATTTCTACTTGCGTCGGTATTTCTATGCATCTATTGCGGTGCGTTTGCTGTTTTTCGTTATTTTTTCCTGCCTTACTTTTATATATTCTAGGTTAAATTGAATTTCCTCAATTTGCTTGCTATGAAACACCCAACAAAATTAGAAACATCCAACGCAAGTAGAAATAACGAATAATGGTCAGACGCGCGGTAATGAATTTTTAAAATCTGCTATTTCCAAGGCAAATACATGTATGGGAAGACTTTAATTCACATTTTCGATACATTTCCTCCTGTAGAATTACCATATAACCGCTTATACCACAGTTTTACTGACATTTTATGTATCTTTAAGGGAGGAACGTCAGCCATTGAACGAGACTATATTTTTCGTTTTATAAAAGCAGTATACGTTAATGGTGTATTCGCTAGACCCGAAATGGTGCAGCCAACGTTTCTTTCTACCGGTTGTATAATGTAAATTCTATCTTATAACGAGAGAGCGTGCTACGCGAGCCTTGAACTTTAATATGTAAAAACTACATACATGATTTAAACGGTATAACAAAAGTGTACGTTTCGCCTAATACTTCTTCTTCTATCATATCGTATCACGATTCAAACGCGTATCAAAAGGCTCGTGGTACGTTGAACGAGGCTCCGAAGGATTATGGTAGCGAAGGAAACGATAGAGGTTCGTGAAATGGAAAGAATCGACGATAAAAAAACGATAATCTGGGAATCTGGGAACAATGACTTCGCAGACAACGCTTTGCAAGGATTTTTGGCGCGAAGCAGACTTGACCCGAATATTATTGGATACGGGTGCTTCGAGAATTTGGAGCGAGGAAGATTGGGGGTTCGAATCCCGAGACTGAAGTGGAAGGGTTCGTTTTAACACGGTCGCTGTCAGCGTTTTGGCCAAGCGTTTCCTTATCTGGTCTGCCTTTTTGAAGTCACAAGAGTGTTCAAAATTGCAACGAAAGTGTCGCGGAAAATACCGGATCACCTTTCAATAAATAATTAACCCAGTACCGATCTCTCTTTCTCGCTGTAATACATACAGTCTAAGTAATCGGCGCACGTTCGGTGGAAACAACACGGCTGATGGATTACCCTCTCTGCATACTGAATTTTTCCAGTAGATCCCGAACCGTGTCTTTGTGCCAACAAAAAACAGGATCCGGGTTATTCCATTAAAACAAACGAGGCGCGGATTGCATGCGAATCTGGTACACGGCCAATTAAAATTTAAATTCAGAACGTTCATCGAGTTCGCGGATATTTGTCGCAGCAATGAGAACGACTATTTTTTAAGTTTTACTACAGATTCGAGCGACAAGACCTTTACGACGCTATAAAACGAAGTGTAAAAGCAATCGACTAGAAATACGCCGACACTTAAATAAATAAAACGACCGAAGAACATAGATGTGCGTTTCCTTGTTTGTAACTTCGAACAGTTATTTTATTTTAACAAAAATATTCTTCTCTTAAAGATAGTGTTGTTTCTTTTTAAAGAGATTTTTCATACGATTACAGGTAACGAAGATATTTTAATGATCTCACTTTCTCTTCTGGAATCGCCTTTGATCTGGAATACTAAGTCTGTCACTCGAGGTGAACAACATAGTCGACTGAATTAGATGCTAGTCAACGACATACACTTGGCACTCGACAGAAGCGAGATAATAGTAAGCATACTAGTTTAATAACGACTCCGCAAGCAACCCTCTTATCGTTACTCGGCTTATATTGTGCCACGATAAATTCTGCTCAAAACAGCGCGCTGCTCGATGTCCCGAAACAATTTCGTCGCGAACTGGAATACCTCACCTAGTAACCCGCTTTCCGGATCTGTACGATCTTAAGCAGCTCAACATGACAGCAAAAGTGTCGTTCGCGGATCGATAACAGATTTTAATAGCCAGGATAAAAATGACCGAAGCGGAAAAGGTGATCTTAAAATTCGTGCAGAGGTCGGAGTATTATCGAGAAAAAACGAACAAATTAAAGTTGTGAAAGCGCGTTTGACAAAACTGAATCGCTATATCAAAAACAATCACTCCACAATCTCGATAGCTTTTTCCAATCGGATACGTTGCTATGGTCGTTACAATCATGCGATTCGCTATTGATTTACAGTGAAATTCGAATATTGTTGGATTTCAAACGTCGCTCTTTGAAAACGAAACTACCGACGGGCAATTTTTACCGCGCGTTTTCGTCGTTCTGAAATCATTCAAAATGCTTTGTGCAACGATCGACAAATTCAAAGTATCGCCGTGTGTGGACAGCCCCGCGGGCAGGTCAGTATCGACCTAAACGATTTGGAAAAAAATAACGAATCTTATAGAACACTGGTACAAGAATATAACAATAGAACGAAATATACTTTATAATAGTGGTTAACATTTCTAAAGTCATGTAACCGGTTTTTAGTATGAGAAAAATTCACGGGAACAGCAAGGTCTAAAACTTAGGTAGTTCCCTCGAAAATGTAAGTTGCGTCTCGTCTGCGTCATAAATTGCACACTGCAGAGTTACGCTAAAGTTCGTTTAAGCGTAATTTTCTTGCTGGAAAGCAGATTTCATAATTTCGCGGAACACTTGTAACAAGTTCGCGGAGCACCGGTTAGGAACCACTGTTCTACAAGAATACGTAATGTACGAGTAATAGAAAGTTGAAATGGAAAAGGGACAAAGATTTAAGGGAATAATCTGGAGAACATACCCTTTTTCGACGCGTGGAAGGAGTCATCTTTCGGTACGTATTGTATATCGTACTCCAGCGTCGTTTTCGGCAGGATGAGCCTGTCCTTGTTGATCTTGTACACGGCATACTTGAAGGCCAGCTCCGTACTGCTATCCTTTTGGTCATGAGTGAATATAGCACCTGAAATCAATCGAGCGAACGGGTCAGACCACCTGACGGAGTGCCTCGTCGAATGTCGTTTCGCGACGATCGCAAAAATTCGCGATCAAAATGCACTCTCCCTCGCCAATATATCTCGACACTTGCTGACCCTGCTCTTCTATCTGGACTAAGGGCAAGTATTCTTGGATACAGTCTACCGGTGCTGCAAAGTATTATAATCTTTCGCCCGAGACAATGGACACGTATGATTTTCCTTTAATGGTCAAAGCACAAAGGAGTAATTTAACAAAGCAGTGAAAGGAGAAATACAAAGGATACAAGTTACGTTTATTCAGGCCTGATGGTAACATGTTTGTAACGTTTCAAAAGAAAGAACTATAAAAATGAGAAATGACCTTTTAAATGTTTTCGACCGTCGCGAAACAATTGGTAGCAAAGTGTACATTGACAGAAGGGTAGAAATGAGTATCCCAAGGCATGTCAACGGTGTTTCTCATAGCACCGTGCCGTTACGTAGCAGAAGCACTTCATAACGGTCCAACACCGTTGGATTTGCATTCTGAGAGTCCATCATTCGCCCGATGGCAGATTCTTCGAGTTCTCTTGCCGGTCGAGAGGCGAAGCAAACTCGTTTACTAATTGCTGATCGATGCTCCCAAACTGAGCGAGGCTGGTGGGTACTAGCATGTCAAGGACTCGATGTACGTATACAAATGCATGCATGCATGTCACGAGCTGCCAGAAAGCCTCGTTCACGAGCAGGGAAGCACGTGAATTCCACAATATTCGTTGTCCGACACTGTAGCGAGAATTTCAACGGAATATGGATGGACAAACGAGATTAACAAAACAGAGACGAAAAGACGAAAAAATTCCCATCTAAATGTCAAATTTCAAATAACGAACGAAACATAAACAAGCCGTCGACGGGTTGTTTGCTCGATAAAAATTACTATCACGAATTACACGATCAAATTAATAAAACATGTTTCGCGTCGAGCAAACAAACGTTTGCCCGAACAATTGACGATTCAATGAACGTTGCGAATAGATATCGATGTACAGAATTTTTGTTCGTATAACAGTCTGCCGAATTCTGGTTGAAACTACAATGAACGATACCGGCGTTGCAGCGGAAAATAAAGAGTTTCATGGTACCGAGAACCGTCGCTGGGTTCACTCGTACCGCTGTTTCCTTCGCAAATATCGATTCGCGTGTTCGCAAATCCGATCGGGCGTCGAGCAGAGGCTCGAACCGGGGATTCGAAACAAGATTTCCCAGTATACAATCGCGACGAAGCGCGTTGGCAAATTTTATTCCTCCTCCGGCGCGGAGGATCCTCGCGAAGAAAGCTGGAGACAATGGCCATAAGTTTTAAAGCGTTCTTCGGAAGTATCGGGGAAACGAATGGGGGATCTTCAGTCTTGCTCATTGCCGGAAATATTTACGTATTCTGGAAAGTAAGTAGAAAGGAGATTTGACCGAGAACTTAAAGGGCTCTGCACAATAGACCGTGCGATACAGTATCCTTAACAAGTATTACAAACTCGTTGCCTTTGCTCGAACGAATTAGGCTTCCCTTTCAAATATTTCTACACGCGTTTATACTCATTCATAAATAATGAATTAAAAAATAATTGTGCTTGTTAGAGGAGGCACTCTTGAACAATAGGTGTTTGTTCAAACAACACTAGGAACAATAAAGTTAAACTGAGCTTGCACAGCTGTATTGTAAGATTCTTTATTGTTCTCCGAACTCGTCCGGAAAGTTTGCAGACGGTTCCTTTGTTCCGCGAGGAACCAGTTGGCGAAATTCGCTGATCCGGAACGTCGCGAGCGACCAGCCTCCGTTCGGCCCGTTCGCATAATTAATTAGAAGGGGCGCGAAACATTAATCGGCAGACGAGAAGAGACGCGGTGAAGAATCGTTCTTTTGTTGCTGAAAAATAGCCGGGCGTCCAGCGTAACGGGAGAGTTATCAATTTCCTGGGCGCAAGGTTCCTTCGTGGCTATCTAAAATCCGGTCGCCCGCGGCTGGACAGTGACGGACGAGGGGACCCAGTAATCGGAACGTCGTCGCTTTCGTCGGTCTTCCCATCGAACGAGCCCCCATTCATGACGTCGTGGTGCTAATTTTAGGGAAACTGCTCTCGCGAAACGCTGCGTATCGCAAACAGCCCCGTGGCTTTGGGTCAAAACTGTTGTCGAGGCTCCGTTCGACGCGTCCGCGCGACGCCCCCGGGGAGTGTACCGTCCCTCGAGGCTGCTTCTAAAACTGCACGAATGGCTAAACGGACGGTCAGATGCCCTCCAAAGGCGACTTTGCAATTTCCTAGCGGAAAAGATCCCATTTCTGGTAGGCCTTTGCTAGGCGACGCAAGAAGAGCTCGACCCTTGTCAAAATTGAGGTCATCTTCGACGTTCCACCTTGGAGCCTTCGCGCAACACCCTTCCTTTGGGGGTCTCTTCAGTGTCGGTTTCTCTTTCGGGCACCTTTCAGCTACGCCATTCAGGCTCCTCGATGCGTGGATGGCGAAACTGGCGAAGCTATCATCGAGCGTTCGTAGCGAAAAAAAGCTGCGCTTAAGTCTTACCGCGTAGCTTTGATCTATTTTTTGTTTCGCTCCTCTCGCCGCGGCGTTCTCCTTTCCATTGAAATCTGGAGATCGGAACGCATTTCTGCCCCGCGGCGTTTCTTTTTATCTCGAGGGGAGAGGCTTTGGAGGGAGGAATACGGTGGACGGGGCGCGACGAACGAAGCACATTTACAAAGTCTAATGGCGGTAATCGCAGCTCGACGCGAAACAAAAATCTTACAAATCGACTGGCTGGCGAGAACAAAAAGTGTAAAAGAAGAACCCGGAGTTCGCCGTTCCACCGCCAAATCACCCTCTCGCGCCATTTCCTTCGGCGAACCTTTAACCGCTCTCAACGGCGTTTCTTCGTCGGGTTGTTTTGGTCGTTCAACGATTGTTGTACGGCTAATCCATTTATCGTCGTACAACCAGGTGCTTCTGCTCGAACTTTAGTTCCGTGGCTGGACCGAGCATGCAACTGTTTCTCGGTTCTTTCGAAACGGCGATAAGCACCGCGCCGGTGCCCTTTGCGGCGACGCGGATCGCTTCTTCCGACGGTTTTTCTTCCCGACTCTTGGATAAGGATCTTCTTAACGGCCCCGTTTTATCATTCGTCGCTTAAACGGAGAGTGAAGGGAAAGAAAACAGCGTGCAAAGTGTCCAACAATGTCTTTCGGGAGTGTAATCTAATTTTCCTAATTACTAATCGATGATCGTTTACATTTCTCTATAAATAAATTGACGAGTAGATATAGAAATACGCTGGAAAATGTTATTTTCCTGTGTACTGCGGGATGAAAGGTTCTTTTTTACGGCGGCATTACCTTTTACCAGATAAACACACAATGGAAACAGGATCACTTTTATTTCGGTTCTCGCAGCTTTTACGAATCGATTTATCAATTTCAGACATTACGACGCACCATCAATTCACGAAGGATTTTACATTCTACAGACGGGATTCCACGTGTACAGGAGTTCATTCAGGAGATGATGTTGCAGAATCCCGGCGGCATTAAAGATAAATCGATCGAGCACTGTATCGAAGTTCCAGAGGAATTCTGTTAATGGTACGGGGGATAGAAAGTCGTTAATGATATCAACATGCTGTTGAAGATGTTATTTCGAAGTATTTCACGGGGTAAGACATACTAATACACGATCTCGTACAATATTCCATTGGAGAAAGTAAATTAAAATATAAAATACAGCGGTAGAGCGATTTATTTAAAAATACCGCCGCCGAATTTGGTATTGTAGAAACGAACAACGTTATCCCGCATCCATTTTCGACGTAATCTTCGCGAATCCTGTGAGCTTAGGATAAGGTGACCTGGATTTCTGCAGGTTAATCTCCATTTCTGTGGGATTACCTCCGCAAATGAGCCAGTACACGGCAGCTCTAGTATCGCTAGATAAATCTAAAATATTGTAACGAACCAACCGGGGTTTAATAACGGTTATCGTTTCGGAAAATTAAATCACTATTTTCGCTCGTCCCTTCAGTCACTGTACGGAACATTCTTTCGGTTGTCAAATCGCGACGAAAGATTGAAACGCGGAGATGATTTGTCTTTTTCTAGCCTTAAACGCGTTAAAGTGCAAGTCGAACTTTGTAAGATAATTAAACGTAAACCTATTCTATTATCGTAGGGTTTCAACAGTCGAGGCTTCGATTGAAACATTATACATTCTGCACAGACGATGTTTGAATTATTTCCGCGGTCTGTGTAACGTATAAATTCGCGCCGTAATAGTTTCAATCGGAATGCATCCGAAGCGAAACTTGTTGAGGCAGCCTTGCTAACGAGGCAACCTGATTCTTCGTTATAATGTTGCAATGTTATACGAGTGTTTTGAATTAATGACGATGTTTTGTAAAATGAAAATAAAAACACAGTTCCATTTTTCTCGTAAAGAATTAAATGTTCTAACAGGATTTATTCTTTTAAATTGTGATGCAACTAAACGTAGCTGATTCTTTGTGTAAAAGTGAACAAGAAATGTGTAATAATTATAATTCCATCTAGTTAAAATACAAAAAACTTTATAGAAAAGAATTTGAAACGTCAGTAGAAGTAGAATTGTCGACGAATGGTCAGAAGCACTCCGAAATCGTAAAATAGGCGAGTATAACGAAACTAAACAATAAAATCAAGCTAGAAAATTGACAAATGAGTGCTGCATGACTTATGGACTGTGCATTATGCTGTATTAATAGCCACGAGCGAATAAATATTGATTTGGGACTAATATACTCCCACAGTCATTAAACTGCTATGACCAATATATTAATATTTCATTGGTACTCTTTGCTGTCGTTCCAGCGATGGAAGTAATTGCATTCCTCGAGAACGACGATAGAGAACGTTTAATTGCGATACTCGCGGCAGGAAGAAAAATGAACCAACAACAAGTTCTCGCGGAGGAAGGCACGCCTA